TCATTAAATCTGCGCTACAGTACTTAATCACAGACGACGTTTGCTTTGTTGTGGCCAAAGAAGGCCAAAATCTATGTGATTGCTGAATTTGGCATTACGGTAGCATGCTATGATACCAGCACAAACACTGATACTAAGACACAACCAACGATACTATCCGTTAGCCAGGAAATACTCGGCATATTGTTAAGTCGTAGACATTTTAGACCAACAATGCGGTCCTAATAAGTTAGAAGAGGGAGGCTGGTAGAGATTGCTTATGTCTCCTGATAAGAGGCGAGAAGAGGAACGCCCGTAATGCAGGTGGCTTTGCGCTAAATTCTTCAATTATTACTAGAGTTAACGTTAAGGTCACGCTTACATAATGGGTTAGAGTTGGTGTTCGGACACAATAAAAGTTACCTTTGCTGTACTATAGTGCGAAACCACTTTATGACGGAGGCCGATCTTATCCTCGTTTCTTCCCGGGTGAGGGGAGCATGAAACATCATCACTGAGAGGCCTTGATAGAGGTGCCGAAACGATCAGTGATGATCCGAGTCACCAAAAATGCAATAAATAGTAGCCGTAGTAACAGTAAACAGACGCCAGTGCCATTCAGTTGGTTATTCCTTTCTAATATTTAACGAAATCCATAGTGATGTGAAATTACGGAACGACTAGCACTAATCTACAGCTAGACTAGCGTAACAGATAAAAAAACCGGGCGAGTCAAGAGTATGCGAAAAGGGCATGCCAAAGGTTCCTTGACAGTACGTATGCTGTCGCAGGCAATTACGACAGAAATTACAGGTGGATCAGACCGACGAATAAGCTTCCTGTGAAGATAATTACCTTTACTTTCCAAAATTGTGCGACCATCCTGCCGAATGACACCCATGAATTCCGAAAAGTTATCTTTCAGAAAATGCTTTGATGCCGTGGAATAAAAATTTTCGGTCTTCCTACGTCTGTGTTTATATTTTTAGAAGTCTAACTACCAACTATCTACGGCTGTGGCTCAGAGTGCCCATGGCTGCTCCAATTCCTAAACGCTAACAGCGGTACTATTTATAAGCTACGAAGTTCTGTACAGATCTTTCAACAGAAATATGCCTGAACCTCGTATGTACAAAAAAAACAGATGGATCCATCTG